CCAAGACGGTGACCTTAGCCTTGCAGGGGTTGCCTCGATTAGAGTGGAGAGGGAATCTTGGCCATTCTGCCAGCAGGGTTATCTCTTATGTGAAGGCTCGACATATGGTCGAGAAGGGGTGTCTAGCTTATTTGGCCTATGTCCGCGATTCTAGTGCGGAGGTTCCTTCCATAGATTCGGTGCCAGTTATTCGTGAGTTTCCAGAAGTGTTTCCTGTAGACCTGCCGGGGATGCCACATGACAGAGATATTGATTTCTGCATTGATTTGGCAACGAGAACTCAGCCTATTTCCATTCTGCCATATCGCATGGCTCCGCCAGAGTTGAAAGAATTGAAGGAGCAGTTGCAAGATTTGCTTGATAAGGGCTTCATTAGACCTAGTGTCTCGCCCTGGGGTACACCTGTGTTGTTTGTGAAGAAGAAAAATGGATCAATGAGGATGTGTATAGATTATTGGCAGTTGAGCAAAGTCACCACCAAGAACAAATATCCATTGCCGAGGATTGATGATTTATTTGATCAGCTTTAGGGTGCCAAGGTATTTTCAAAGATTGATTTGAGATCTGGCTACCATCAGTTTAGGATTAGGGCATCCGATGCTCTTGAGACAGCTTTTCGGACTCGGTATGGGCATTATGAATTTCTAGTAATGTCATTTGGGCTGACAAATGCCCCAGCAGCATTCATGGATTTGATGAACCGGGTGTTCAAACCCTACTTGGACTCCTTTGTGGTTGTGTTTATTGATGATATCTTGATCTATTCCCACAGTCAAGGGGAGTATGAGCAGCATCTTCGGATCGTTCTTCAGGCTCTGAAAGACAGCTAGTTATATGCTAAGTTCTCAAAATACGAGTTTTGGTTGAGTTCAGTTGCTTTCTTGGGTCACGTTGTATCAGCAAAGGGTATTCAGGTGGATCCTAAGAAGATTGAGGCAGTCCAGAACTGGCCTAGACCCATATCAGCTACAGAGATCCGTAGTTTCCTGGGTTTGGCGGGCTATTACCGTCGATTTGTGGAGGGGTTTTTATCTATAATAGCCCCGTTGACCAGTTAGAGTAGCCACCACTAACAGGTACTCTGCCCTGGAGACTGCAGCTTCCACATCTGAGGAGGATGGGCATAAGCCCCATGATAATAGCAACATGGAACACTAGAGGGCTTAACAAGCCCTTTAAACAAAAAGAGTTGAAGCTCTTTTTGAATAAGAATAAAGTAGATCTCATTGGATGCATTGAGACTAGAGTTAAAAGAACCAAAATCAAAAAAAAATATTGAAGAAATTAGTACATGATTGGGAAGCATGCTGCAACTACCCAAATGTAGTGAATAGGAGGATATGGTTATTGTGGAAGAGGTACCTCAGAGTTCAGATTATTAGCATAGCTGAACATCTAATTTATTGCACAGTAGAGGAGACTACTACTGGTTTCTTCACTCATCTGACTATAGTATATGGGAAGAATGACCTTCAACAAAGAGGTGCTCTGTGGAATGAACTAAGATTTATTGGGAACTAGGTACAGACTCCTTGGCTTATATGTGAAGATTTCAACAATGTGCTATCTACTGAAGACAGGATTGGAGCACATGTAACTCAACAAGAGATACAGTAATTCCAACACTGCATTGATACCTTGCAACTGAGTATACTGAAGGCAATTGGATGGCATTTCACATGGTGCAACAAGCAGCCAGACACTAGCAGGGTGTACAGCAAAATTGGCTGGGCATTTAGGAACTATCACTAGTTGCAGAAATATGGACACATTAAAGCTGACTACATGAATCCTTCAGTATCAGACCATTCACCAATTCTTATCCACTGTGGTGCAAGGATTCAGCTTCACCTTAGACCTTTTAAGCTCTTTTTAAATGTGCTACACCATCCTGAACTTGGGAAAAATGTTGAGGATACATGGCACTTGCCAGTGAGGGGCGACCCTATACATCAAGTGTGGAGGAAGCTACAACTTCTAAAGGACAACTTGAAGGAACTGACAGCCTATATGGCATCATATAAGCAAAAACTTGAGCAGCTGAGAGAGGAACTAGAAGTAACACAAGCAAATCTCAAACACCAACCACAAGACCAACTCCTTATTGAAAAAGAAAGACAAATTTTGCTTGATTAGGAGAAGTGGAGAAGTATAGAAGAACATGTCCTAAGGCAGAAATCAAGGGAAACCTGGATCACTAGTGGAGATACAAACTCCAAATACTTTCATGCTCAATGGAGGATGAGAACTGCTAGGAACATTATCACTTCAGTTTATACTGAGTGTGGTATCAAACTCACATACCCTAAATTAGTAGACTAGGAATCCATATCCTTCTTCACCGGGCTTATGGGGGAAAGAGCCTCAGAACTACCTTGTCCAAATACAGAGATAATAAAAAAAGGCTATTGTTTGAACTATCAGCAACAATGTCAACTAGTGCAAGAGGTAACAAATGATGAAATTTTGGAATCCATAAAGAAATTCCCCTAGACAAAGCACCTGGAGTAGATGGATATCCTATTGAGTTCTTTCTCAAGCTGTGGGAGGTGGTCAGAGAGGATATCTATGCAGTTGTACACTACTTCTTCCAAACTGGCAGAATGATGCATGCTATCAATTGTACTGTAATTACACTGGTGTCTAAGGTTCCTTCACCAACTCAGGTAAAGGACTATAGGCCAATTTCCTGTTGTACCACCCTATACAAGATCATAGCCAAAATTCTAACTAGAAGATTCAGCAAGGTTGTTGGTGACATTGTCAGCCAATTCCAATCGACTATCATCAGAGGCAGATCTATCCTGGACAACATACTATTCATCCATGAAATTTTCAAGGGCTATGGAAGAAAAGGCTTGTCCCCTAGATGTGTAATAAAAGTGGACCTTAGGAAAGCATATGACACATTGGAATGGAGCTTTATCAGAAGAGTCATGGTCGATCTTGGCTTTCCCCACAAATTTGTGCAATGGCTCATGGAATGTATAACTGCTGCTTCCTATTCGTTGGTCATCAATGGAGGGCTCACCAAGCCTTTTCCTGGGCAAAGAGGAATCAGACAAGGGGGCCCTATGTCCCCCTATCTCTTTGTTATAGCTATGGAGTATTTGCAAAGAGAGATGAATCAATTGATCACAAATGATGATTTCAATTTCCATCCAAAGAGTAGGAAACTGGGAGTCACTCATATTTGTTTTGCTGATGACTTGCTTATGTTCTGTAGAGCAGATAAGGAGTCTATTAGGCTATTGAATGGTGCTTTTCAAGCATTCTCACAAGCTTTAGGCCTACATGCTAATACTACCAAAAGCTCCATTTACATATCTGGTGTGACAGAGGATATTAAACAAGATATAGTGCAACTCTTGAGTTACTCCTTGGGTGATCTACCTTTCTAATATTTGGGGGTTCCATTGTCATCTAAAAAATTTTTAGTGGTCCAATATCTGTCTTTTATTAAAAAGATTACTGCTAGAATAAAGTGTTGGTCTGCCAAACTCCTCTCTTATGCAGGCAGACTTCAGTTGATAAAGTCTGTAATATTTGGAATACAAACTTATTGGGCACAGATTTTTATGATACCAAAGAAGGTAATGAAAGCTATCGAAAGTCTATGTAGAACCTTCTTATGGACTGGAATGAAAAATCTATCAAAGAAAGCACTGGCGTCTTGGGACAAAGTGTGTTTACCTCAAGCAGCTGGAGGATTAAATGTCCTGAATCTATGTAGATGGAACAAGGCTGCAATAATAAAGCAGTTATGGTCAATTGCACAGAAAAAGGACTGCCTCTGGATAAAGTGGGTGCATAGCTACTACATAAAGAAACAAACTTTTGACTCATGCCCTATACCTAAGACAACAGCTTGGGTAATTAGGAAGATTTTGGAAACTCGAGATACGATTATGCAACAGGTTATGGTACAAGGTGACTTACTTGCAAAGTTAGGAAAAATGCAGAACAAGGATGATTCCTTCTCTATTAAAAAGATGTACCTACATTTGATACCTCAGCACCCCAAGGTCCCCTGAAAAAGCCGTACACTGCAACAAAATATCCATCCACGAGTGAAATTTATCTTATGGTTAACAGTGCAAAACAGGATGGCAACTGCGGATCGACTGCAGATGATAGGCATACAAGCTCCTATGGCTTGTGTATTCTGTCATGGTGGCATTGAAACTCATGAATACCTATTCTTTGAATGCCCTGTTACAGGTGCATTGTGGCTGAGATTACTGACCTGGCTTGGGTATATCAGGAACAGAGGTGATGCCAAACATGAATTGCAATGGGTATGCAGTATGGCCAAGAGGAAGAGTGGACTGGGAGCTGTCACCCGTTGTGCATATGCAATGGCAGTCTATGTCATATGGAGGGAGAGGAATCTACTAAGATTCCAGAAGAGCACATATGATGAAGATAGAGACAGTAGAGAAATAGCAGTACATATTCACATTAGAGGACAAAACCTTAGGAAATGGCGCAAGCCTTTGAGTCTGCTGAGTTCATACCCTTATTGAGATAGATGATCATTTTCTTGATTTCTTATAGTTAGTATAGCTAAACTAGGGACTGTTATATGTAAATAGGAGTGCAAGAGGTCGGCTCTTTGCCTGGAGTCTGTAAATGATACTTTTTTGGTTAATAAAAAAGTTATTTACCAGGAAAATAATAATAATAATAATAATAATAATAATAATAATAATAATAATAATAATAATAATAATAATAATAATAATAATAATGTTAATAACTCTTGTTACCGCCGCTTTAGCGGAAAGAAATTTTCAATATTAAATTAATAAAATCTTACCTAAGATCAACAATGTCTCAAGAAAGGTTAAATGGATTAGTTATATTGTCAATTAAGAAAGACT